TCTAACAATTATTTTTGTGTGTTTTCGATGATGCCAAAAGGGGGAAGATAAGATTGGGAATGTTGTGGGTTGTGAACATATATGTCTGTCAATAAGTACTTATCATTTGTTATGATTATCTGGTTTTTTAACAAAGTATGACTAAATGCTCAAAGAACCAGATCCTCAACATAGCTGCTTAATTTTTCTGAAGAACCAGCTCCTCATGATAAAGGACCAGCTCCTCGTGTTGATAATTGTACGTCTGTACAAGACAGTAACTTTATCTCAAAGTTGTTCAGGTCCGAGTTTAGTGGGAGAAGGTTGTTATATGGGATAAGGGTCGTATCTCAAGAAGATACGAATAATTCAGTCAAAGACAAAAGTCCCAAAGCTTATGGAATCCTTGGAACAATAGGAGTCCTATCAAAGATGAAGCCAACTATGAATATGACTCCTAGAAAATCTCAAGTTGAAGCGTTTAATTATGATCAACTTTGGACTTCTGAACTATCCTTTTACACATTAACTGCAGAGTCATAAGCTGTTTACCCTAATCGAGTACTTGCATTGTATTCTTCTTGAGTCAGTGTAGTGAATTTATTTTAGGAAATTAAGTTGTAATCAAGTTTTATTTTACAATTAAAGAGTTGGAGTGAGTGTTTGCTTTACAAGTTAGAGTAACCTATGAATCAAATAGGAGTAGTAGGAGTATTGGAGAGTATTTAATTACAGTCCTGTAATTGATACATTTAATCCATACGGGCACTCAAACTAACACACATGAATCGAGTAATTTTTATCTCAAACTCTGTAACTCAATTATTATTATAAATATATTAAATTAATATTATGGTAAGCCAATAAATTCTAAATCTTAGATCCGTCATTTGTGACATGCTGCCTAGACATGGTTGCTCTGCAGTATGTTCATGTGGACAACCTGACGAGAAATATCATGGACATATCGACATTATTTCGTTGCAAGAATTCTCAAGCATTTATATGATAACATTTAAGTGCATCTTAGTCAGTCAAGAGACATCTTTACATCCTTCTGAAATTGGATATAAAACAGAATATTCATAAGATTTACTTTTCAGATGCATAGCTTTTGTGTAAATGAAAGGCAAACTGTTTATTCGTATAATGTTGGTTTGCGCATCACGGACGACCCATATATAAAGGTAGTCCGGTGCACTAAATTCTCGCTATATACGGGGTCCGGAGAAGGATCGGACCACAAGGGTCTATTGTATGCAGCTTTACCCTGTATTTTTGCAAGAGACTATTTCCACATACGGTTCGAACCCGTGACCTTCTGGTTACATGGAAACAACTTTACCAGTTACGCGCCAATACTCCCTTCAAAGGACAACCCATATATAGCATCTTATATTGTTGGTTTACTTATACTGTCACATGTTCACCACAAGAAAAGGGACTTGTTGCTTAGTGGTGACCTTAGGATTGCTGCAGGTACTTCGGATAGTGAATGTTTTTTGGGACAACTCCTCGAGGCCGAAACACAAAAAATGCACATTTTCTGGCGACTAAACTCGCCAGAAATAATAACCAAATTTGCCGCAAAAAAAGGTTTCATAAAACCCTTACTTTTGTTGAGACCAAATTAGTCACAACAAAAGGTCGTCACAACCATATTAGTGTAGTGAACGTTATTGAGAAGATGAGGGAGTGAATTATTTAGCTAAACTATTCTGCTGCTAATAAATGATAAACAAGAATACACATAATCTACTAGAAAAAATTAGGGGTGGGCATAATACCGGCCGAACCGTGAATTTCAGATTTTCGGTTTCGGTTTAATCGGTTATTCGGTTGGTGCACGGTTTTTAAATTATTAAATTTTGGTTTTTCGATACGGTTTATGGTTTTGGTGTTACGATTTTCGATTAAACCGAAAAACCGAAATTTTGGATATTAGTTTGAGAAAAATAAGTTTGAATATATGAGTTCTTTTGAGAGTCCAAAACTTATTACCCATCTGAAGCCCAATAGTACAATACCCATCTGAAGCCCACCCAAATTGCCCAAACCCATCTGAAGCCTAACCTAAGACTTAGTCACTTAGTGACTTACATTATTGCCTTCCTTAGAAATAAAAATTTAGTGTTCCTCCTCTGGTCCTCTCACCTCTGTACGACTGCTGTTGCCGACGCCCGACTGCTGACTGCTGTGACGCCCGACTGCTAACTGCTGTGACGCCTTCTTCCTCAGCTCGTCGCTCATCCTTCTTCCTTTGGTTAGTGGTTACCTCCTTCTTCTGAGTTCCTTTTCCGTTTTCTACCTCAGCTCATTCGATTTTGGTGTAGATCTTGTACCTTTTGGTGTACCACTTTTATACAGGAGTTTGCTCATCAATTAAATTACTTTTGCTATTTGATGTAAAATTTGGTTATGCCCTTCAACTAGAAAATGAATTCTAGAATTTTTTGGTATCAAAAGGGGCAGATGTTTTCTTTGTCTTCCAACTTTTATACTTTCTTATCTTATTTAACAGATATATAAAGCCATCATGTATAATATTTGGACTCTTTCTCGTGTTTTTGTGTTGGAACCTTTCTCCATTGTATATATAGCAGAACTCAATCTTATGAGTCGGACCCTTTTTGTACTTATCTAGTTATTATCACTTGCAATTGAAAAGAGAACTTGTAGTTGTTTTGGCACCAAAACTGGAAGTTTACACGGAAGAACTGGAAGTTTATGACCAAAACAGTGAAAAAATAACCACGGGACTCAGCGGAGCCAAGATTTGAACGTTATGGGTTCGGGATTGTAATCATTTCAAGTCACTGGGTTCTAAATTAACAAGTTTTATATATCCAATGGATTTCTTAAGACAAATACATGATTTGAATAAAAGTTACTGGGTTCGGCCGAACCCGCATCTGGTACTGTGCCTCCGCCCTGGACTGGAAGTTTATGACCACCGAAAGTAAATCCAAAATATAAAAATCGCACCGAACTGTAAATACTTTGGACTGATTTGGTTATTAATATTACAAAACTGATAAACCGAATCGTACTTTCATAATAATCGACCGAACCCACCCTAAAAAAGATTAAGACACAACACACAAACATAATCTTGAGTTACGGTGAAACAAAGGTATCATTGAACCATATAATTCAATTCTATATATAATTCGACAGCCAACTCTAAAATTTTTGCGCGTCACAAGCCAATAGTTAATTAATTATATTTGACTTATGGATACACATAACTAAAATAACAATTAACTATTCTTTTCCCGCTTACAATCAATTAGTGAACGTAAAGTCCAAATTAATATTTTCAAAAAAGAAACATCTAATTAATAAGGTAGTGATCTCAAAGTAGTGCAGACCTTAGCCGCAAAAAGTTTCAACTAGTATGTAAACCTAGAGTATATATTTCCGAGAAAAAGATTAGGATTAACTAAAATCAAGGCTCCTACTTCTTCACCATGTATAAATTAGTTGTTGCGAGTTTGACCAAATACGTTGTATCTACTCTAGAGTCGTCACTGTCAAGAACCTCCGTTGAATTTATGCAGCTGAAGCATAATCATAATTTCCATCATCGTCGTCACCACCTCCTTCTATGCATGCTGCTGGAGCATAATCATACCCATCTTCCCTGTCGTCCTCTCCATCTAAACACTTTCAAAACGCAGTCTCTCCGCCACATCTGATACAATTTCCTCCTTGCAAGGGAAGTACATGTTCTAAAATATTGCAGCTTGTTGGCGTAGGGCAAATGACCCAAATATGGACTAATCTTAGTCCGTGGAAACGTGTGCATGGCACGTGGAAGTGTGTATAATCTACGTGGATGCTTAGTTAACATGCCACCTAGACAAGGTTAAAATACAAAAACGAATATGTGACTACAATGTCGAGTGACCAGAAATATTGTGAAAGGTCGAGATTCCATTTTGTGCATGAGTTCTCTAAGTAATATATAAAACAGAATACTTTCCAGATGGAGAGCTTTTGGGTAAAAGAGAAAGCAAACTATTCTTTCTACAGCATCTTAATTATGAAGTTGTACCCTAAACTATCAAGTTGGTTTATGTGTATCTTCTACAATAATTTGAAATATACCTCTAAGCAATTGAAAATATCCAGTTATATGATTGAACAATTTAACAAGTTCAAATATACTCCTACGAGCTTTCACCATATCAGCTAAATAAGACCAATTGTTTTCACGGTGAAGAACTACTAATGGGAGGGACATATTTGAGGCAAAATTAAAGGTCAAAACCTTCATTATTTCATAGACCGAAAGACAGAGGAAAACGTATTAGGCAAATCGCAAACGTTAAGGATATATTTGAACCTTTTTACTTTAACAGTAGACTAATAGCGCATGCAACGCATATGGAATAGGTAAAGCTATTCTATAGTTTTCTGATCGTTATTAATTATCTTCTGACAAATTATGGGATATGAATCATACGATCACATCATCAAGAGAAAATACATTTAACTATATAATCCATGTCACTTTTCTGAATAAGTTATTCAAAATAATATTTTCAAGAAAAAGATACATCTAATAAGCATGTGATCTCAGAGTCCTTTACATTTTGGTGTAGACCTGATCAGCCGCAAAATATTTCAACTAATATATTATATAAACCTATATAATTCTAAAAAGAGGACTAGGATTAGAGGCAGTGGGTTTGATCAAACACGCTACCTCTACTCTAAATCTGTCATTGCTGAGAATTTCCAATGAATATCATGCAGCTGGAGCATAATCATAGTCTTCATCATCATCGTCATTGCCTTCTCAGAATGCTGTGGGTGCATATTTATAGTCTCCATGATATTTTATACTTCAATACTACACAAAAGAGGGGTGATTTGTATGGTGTCCAATTTTTCGCATGCACAGATTATAGAAGGACTTGGTTCTTCTACGAGTTCCTTACACTACAATTCCAGAATAATAAATGCAGAAAGTAAGGAACACAAGTATTTTTACGTGGAGAACACCCGGCTCAAAAGGTGAAAAAATCACGACCTACTTCCCACTAAGATTTTTTTCAAAACTTTAATATAACTCTGAGCCAAACAAAAATATTTACATAACTCTTATAAACCTAAGGATTACCTCTAACTCTTGCGGCAACCAGCCTCATGTTGTTGTGACCGCTTCAAGTTAGCTGTAACTTGAACAATACAACTCAAAGTATCTAGTACAAATACTTCTAGAGAAAGCTGAAAGGTACAACTCAAAAATCCTACTACAATTGAACTATAATAAAAGACAGACACATGCAATTGGTTCTTCTATCTGGTTCATATATGTAGTTTCAGGGTCGCACACTCGAAACACACAAGAATAGCTTGCAAAATTCCTTGTTATCTTGCTCCCAATTCTTGCTTAACTTCAGCATTTGTGCGTACCTGTAAAAGAGAACACAATTAATATATATAGAGTTAGTAGAATAAGCTAAGGATTAACTAGAGTTCTAACGCTTTACTCTTTCATGGTGGAAGAGTTCTAGTTATCTTCAATTTCTAACTCTTTCCTTATCTAGGATAGAGTTCTTTTCAAATAAGGAGTCATGCTCCTTATCAATTATGCAACCTTTTCGTTCAAGGAATATCAGATATAACCACTTATGCTTATCCCCTTCACGTGCATGCCTTGTGCTTGAATCTGCCCGTACCCTGTGTACACTGTGTATGGACATGGTTCATGCATGTGTTCCTTTGTCAATCATCAAAACAAAACTAACTCAGGCCAACACTCCATCATCGTCGTCATCGCCTTCCAAGAATGATGCAGGAGCATAATCATAGTCTCCATCATCGTCGTCACCACCTCCTTCTAAGCATGCTACTGGAGCATAATCATATCTATCGTCTCCATTATCATCTCCATCCGAAAACGACGACCTTCTCTTCTCGAGCCCAATAATCTTGAAAATACTAGCCATTTTATATAACTCTTGGTTATTGGACTATGTCAATATTGAAATATGATATTAGATGTTGTATATGTTTATTTGAATATAAGATATGAAGAATTGTTGTTGTAGTCTGAATAGGTGAGGAAACCATTTGCTTATATCAGGAGAAGAGCCAACTCCGGACTAGGAAATGTGTATTATACCTGAGAATGTGCCAAAGCCATATGCTTGGCTACATTAAGCCACACCTAGGAATCTTGTTTCCCTGGGTATAACTATAAATAGCCGTGTAACACAAATAATTCTTGGCAAGCATACGCTATATTTTACTTTCGCTATCAATTAAATAACTTTATTTGCTTTTTATCATTGCTTATATTTTTTGTCCTCGGAGACATTGTGCTCGGAGCCAGATTTGTCATCTTTTTTAATTTCAATTGCTAAGTGTCATTTTAAATCTTATTTCTCTATCATTTTTAGATCAAATAAGCTCGCTTGTCTATAACCACGTATCAAATTTAATTGTACCGTTTTATGGATTAACAAAAAAAAAGGTACATCTACTAAGCTAGTGATCTCAGAGTAGTGCAGACCTCAGTCGCAAAAACTTTCAAATAGTATATAATCCTATATATTTCTAAGAAATAGATTAGGATTAATTAAAACCAAGGTTTCTATTTCTTCCTCATGTATGAACTAGCAGTTGTGAGTTTTGACCAAATACGCTATATCTACTCTAACTTTGCCACTGCCAAGAGCGTCCGTTGAATTTATGCAGCTGGAGCATAATCATAATCTCCATCATCGTCATCGTCATCACCACCTCCCTCTAAGCATGCTGCTGGAGTATAGTCATACCCATATCCATCTTCTCTGTTACCATCTCCATCTGGACGCGATGACCTTCTCTTCTCGAATCCAATAATCTTGAAAATATCCGACATTGTATATATCTCTTAGTTATTGGACTATAGAAATCTTGGAATAGATATGAATAATGGTTTTTTGCGGCGTGTATGATTGGTGAAGAAACCATTTGGTTATATAAAGGGAGGAGCCAACTCTAAGGGCTCGTTTGAACGCATTTGGCACGTTAGGAAGTGTGTTGTGTTAGCTTAAGAATGTGCAGAGCCATAAGCTACTTTTGAGGTGGAGATAGAGATCCTTATCTCTAACTTTTGTGGGTGGCAGATCATGGGTTGGATTTAAGTAAAATCCATTAAAAGGAATATATATACTCCTACATTAATAAGAAAAAAATATGTCTTCACTTTCAAATCGCAGTCTTTTCGCCACATATGCTACAATTTCCTCCTTACAAGTGTTCCAACCTTTAAAGTTTAACATTAAAACTAAAGTGATAGAATAAAGTGTTGAAAGGGAAGTACATGGTCTAAAGTATTGCAGCTTGCTAGCTGGTGTAGGGTAAATGACTCAAATATGGGCTAATCTTAGCCCGTGGAAACGTGTGCATAATCTACGTGGATGCATAGTTGGCATGCCACCTAGACAGAATTACACTGCAGAAACGAATATGTGACTACAATGTTGAGTACATGTCTTTAGAATACTGTTAAATATTGTGAAATGTCGACATTTCTTTTTGTGCATGAGTTCTCATATAGTACATTAAACAAAATACTCATAAGAGTTATTCAGATGCAGCGCTTTTGGATAAAAGAGAAACCAAACTATTCTTCTGCAGCATCTTATGATAAGAGTTATTCAACTATAATAATTTGAAATATACCTCTACGCAGTTGAAAATGTCCAACTATATCATTAAACAATTTAACAAGTTCAAATATATACTACTACATGGTGGCTTTCACCATATCAACTAAATTAAACCAATACATATTTTTCACGGTGAAAAACAGCTAATGGGAGGTACTGTAAAGACCCGATCGGTCGTTTTGAGCATTTACGCTCCTTCCAACTATTTAAAGTCTTGAATAACTTCCTACGAGGTATTATGACTTGTGTGAATTGTTGGTTTTGGTTTTAAGGTATTTCAGAGTTAGCTTGGAAGAATGAATTTTCATGTTGGAAGCTTAAGTTGAAATAGTTGACCGAATATTGATTTATGTATTAACGACCTCAAAATTTAATTCTGATAATTGCAATAACTCTGTATGGTGATTTTGGACTTAGGAGCGTGTACGAAAAATTATTTGGAGGTCCGTAGTGAAATTAGGCTTGAAATACCGAAAGTTGAATTTTGGAAAATTTGACCGGGGGCTTGACTTTTTGATATCAAGGTCGGAATCCGATTCTGGAAATTTGAATAGCTTTGTTATGTCATTTATGACTTGTGTGCAAAATTTGAAGTCATTCCGGATTGATTTGATGTGTTTCGGCACAAGAGATAGAATTTGAAAGTTCAAAGTTCATTAGGCTTGAATTGAGGTGTGATTCGTGGTTTTAGCGTTATTTGATATGATTTGAGGCCTCGAGTAGGTCCGTGTTATGTTATGGAACGTGTTGGTATATTTGGTTGAGGTCCCGAGGGGCTTGAGTGTATTTTTGGATCATTAGTTGAGAGATTTATAAAGTTAAGAAATTTGAAAGTTTGGCCATGGTCAATATCGGGTCAAGACGACCTCTTACCAGTGTTTTGAGTGCGCGAGCAGGTCCGTAGCGTGTTTCATGATTGAAATTCATATATGTTTTGTGTCCGGAAAGTTCCGAATGAGTTTCGAGGTGAGTTTTGAGCGAGTCCGGGCATTTCAGCACTATAATATTGTTCTGGCACTTTTGGGGGTGCGGACCGCACATTTTTGGGTCCTGAGGTGAAGGAGAGGGGCGGACATCACATAAGAGTGCGGACCGCAGCAGAATTTCGCGAACTGCATAATTTGGTCCGCGGCAGCGCTCCAGGGAGTTCTGCAGATTCGCCGGTCCGACTTCGGAAGCCTATATCTTTTGATCTACAAGGAATTGTGAGATGATTTAGAAACGAAAGTTGTAGCCCTTCATGTCTAGTTCCAGAAAGGTAAAGAAGGCATTATTTGGACATCTGTAGAAAATATTATGGCCAAAATACTAAAACCTAGCAGTGCATCCACCAAGAATTTTGCGGACCGCAGTAGAATTTCGCGGCCGCGCTTGGAATTTCGCGGACCGCGAATTGGGAGTTCAGAGGGTGCACTATATAAACGTGGTTCAGGGTATTATTTCACATTTTGGACCTAGGGAGAGGAGTTAGTGGGGATGTTTGGTGAGTTTTTCAAGAAACTCATCGGAGTAAGTGATTCTAACTCGAATTTGGTTAATATACATGAATATATCAATGATTTCATCATCTGATTAGTAGTTTGAGATGAAAATTTGGAAAAAATTGTAGAAACTTCATAAAATGAATTTGGAGATTTGAGGGTCAAGTTGATGTCGGATTTGAGTAAAATTTGTATGGTTGGACTCGTGGTTGAATGGGTTGTCGGATTTTGTAACTTTTGTTGGGTTCCGAGACGTGGTCCCCACGGCCGATATTTGAGCTAAATTTCGGATTTTTATGGAAAATTAGCATTTTCTTATAGAATTAATTCCAATGAATTTTATTGACTGAAACGAATTAATTGTGACTAGATTCGAGGCATTCAGAGGCTGATTTGCGAGGCAAGGGCATAGCAAAGTAAAGAATTTCACACTCTGAGGTAACTAACAGTTTTAAATCTGGTCCTGAGGGTATGAAACCCCGAATTTTGGTGTCATGTGATTATTTTGGAGGTGACGCACATGCTAGGTGACGGGCGTGTGGGCGTGCATCGAGGGTATTGTGACTTGGTCTGTCCCGTGGAAACTGTAAAGCTGAAAAACTTATAGATAGTTATGTGCTCTCTATGTGATGTGGAAACTTGACTATAAGTCATGCTAGAAACCATGCTTAGGCTATGTGTTGGTATTTTTGGGACCCACAAAAATCGTGTACATGTTGAATTATCTGCTTAAATTATTATTTTGTACTCAGTCACAACTTACTTGATTATTTTATCTCAGTCTTTATTTGTTCATTATTGATGTATCATATCATTGTTGTTTGGGCTGATTTTATGATTGTTGAGAGCCCGAGTGACTGGAGAGCTTTATGATTGAGTGAGGCCGATAGCCTAATTGTGATATATTATACTATTGCACGTGAATTGGTCTTGCAGCATGTGAGTTGGTCGTGCAGCACGTGAGTTGGCCGTGCGGATCCTTATATTATACTATTGCACGTGAGTTGGCCGTACAACACGTGAGTTGGCCGTGTGGATCCTTATATTATACTATAGCACGTGAGTTGTCCGTGCAACACGTGAGTTGGCCATGCAGATCCAGATATTTATATTATAGTACGTGAGTTATTCGTGCAGCACGTGAGTTAACCGTGCAGATTATAACGCTTGGGCTGTAGGAGCCCCTCCGGATTACATGAACTTGAACTGTATAAAATTAATTTGACTTAAACTGTCAAATTTGAAAGCATGTCTATTCTTTGCTGGAATTACTGAAAGTGAACAATAACTGTGCAGCTCGTCATTATCTTCAGTTCCTTAGTTATTATTGTTACTTGTTGAGTTGGTTGTACTCATACTACACCCTACACTCCGTGAGCAGATTCAAGTA